AAAGAGGCCAAGCATGGTGGCTCACGCCTATAATTCCAACACTTTGCTAGGTGGAGGCAGAAAGATCACTTAGCCCAGGAGTTTGAAACCAGTCTGGGCAACACAGGGAGACACCATCTCTAAACACACACACACACACACACACACACACACACACACACACACACACACAAAAATTAGCCACTCATGATGGTGAGTGCTACTTGGGAGGCTGGGGTAGAAGGATAACTTGAGCCTGGGAGGTCAAGCCTGCACTGAGCTGTGATTGTGCCACTGCACTTCAGCCTGGACAAAAGACTGAGACTCTGTCTCCAAAAAAAAAAGAGAGAGAGAGAGAAAGGAAGAAAAAGAAAGACATAACACATTATAACTCAGACCATTTGTTGTAATCTGGGCTGTAATTTTTTTCTTTAAACCCAAAAGAACTTCTGATCAGGTAAATGTATTTTTCTTTTTTAATGACAAATCTACTTTATAAAGTACCTTCCCTTATCAGTGAAAAAGAAAAGGAAAATATAAAAGAGCTGAGTCAAATTTGGAGTCAATAAAGGTTTGCAGTTCTTCAAACAAGAACACTTGCTATGAATTCTAAAAATAAACAACAGACATGGCTGAAAAAAGATTTCATTTTATGAAAGATTCTGCACCAAAGTCTTTTACAAAAACCACTAAACATTCTGTTCCATCTCCTATTCTGAAATCACTACTTGGTCTAAATTCACAGTTTCAGTAATAAAAATGAACACAATAAAACAGTACTCTATGCCCCCATCTCACCCCAAGAATTATCTTCAAAGGATGTCCAGATTTCTGTACACTATTTGCCAATCCTACCTAGGTCTTAAAAAAACAAATCTCAGCTTTATTGCTCGAGAAAAATCACTGGTTAATTAAAATGTCATTTAGGATTTTATTTGTTTTCTATGGAGGGACAATAATGGAATATTATTTTCATTTATTACTAAGGCAACATCTTTCATTATTAGAAGTATATTTCCATCTCAAGCTACATTTCAAAGCAAATTATATTCTTGAATGAGCTACTTTCACAGGTGTTTTGAATGTAATATTTTATTATAAAGCTGTGGTTGGCCTCCAGTGTTAATCAACACAAAGATGGATTTATTTTCAAAAGAGAAGACATTCTTTTCAGCAATCAAAATGTTTTCATCGAAAATTACTATGTATCATACAAATAACAAGCTCACTGTAAACATTTAAACAATTCAGGTTGGGCGCGGTGGCTCATGACTGTAATCCCAGCACTTTGGGAGGCCAAGGCGGGTGGATCACAAGGTCAGGAGATCAAGACCATCCTGGCCAACACGGTGAAACCCCGTCTCTACTAAAAATACAAAAAAATTAGCTGGGCATGGTGGCAGGTGCCTTTAGTCCCAGCTACTCGGGAGGCTGAGGCAGGAGAGTGGTGTGAACTCAGGAAGTGGAGCTTGCAGTGAGCCAAGACCCGGCCACTGCACTCCAGCCTGGGCGACAGAGTGAGACTCCATCTCAAAAAAAAATAAATAAATAAATAAATAAATTCAAAGATAGATAAAGTAGAAAGTCAAAGTCTCCACCTACCTGCCCTCTAAGATGTTACTACTTATGCTTAAAATACTTTATTTTTAAAAAGGAGGGGAAATCACATCATAACTACTTTAAAAGG